ATGCGACAGGCGGTGGCGGTGGAGGCGGTGGTGCTGATACTGGCCCGAAAATGCGAACTGATGTATCGTGCTATCTGGGTCCTCGTTGAGACTCATTCAAATTGTTTTCATTGATGCATATTAATATCGTAATTAATCATTACCATCACCTTCTTACCACACGGTCTTATGCATCAATATTTCATAAACATTAAGTATAATGTTACGATTGGATACGTTTATATCCACACAGATATGAACTAATGATGAAGATATTATTACTACTTTGTCATTAAACCGCCTGTGATCCCACCAGAGTGAATTTTGTATGTATGTCACTAACATTTAATGAACAATTTCGAGTTATTGTCTGTAACACCTCAACACATCATATCGTTCGAGCGCATAGAGCTTTCACAGTTTGAAGTTGAAATACAGGGTTGTTACGTTTCGCTCATCAGATAAAGGAGCATACTGGGTGATCATTAAGGATATTGGAGAGGAGAACTGAATTACAGACATGCTCGTACCGAAACATGCTCAATAATTGAGTTGCCAGCGTCACCCTCAGAATGGGCAATCAGTTTTTCGATGTTCAAATTCCAACCAAGCGGTCTTATTTGGATAGTCATTCCTCATATTGACCTAGTAGAGCATGCAATTGTTCTGTTAATGATTTTGAAATTGATACGCAATTTTATTCAGCTCAAACAACTAAAGATCAAATTGAAAGCAGATAATTGTCTCTATTTTATAAAACTTCGTGCCCTATTCGACCAAAGCGATAAAAATTATGAATTATAGTAGTGTAATAGATTGAGTCAACATCACTGAAGTGTAACATTGTGTCATAATTATGAACATAAGGATCAAATGAATATGTAAAAATTGTGGTTGATGTGGCAGAGGAATGGCTGAATGAGAAGAAGAATGCCGAAGTGAAGGACAAGGCCGAACGCGATTGATATCGGTAACGCTGGAGTGGATTCATCGTCTTTCGAGAACAGACTCAACGTCACCAACAGGCCAACGATGACCCCGAGTGCTGCACCCATTGTGCATAACGCACTTCCACTGGCCGCAGCCTTGCCGACCAGTAGACTGTAGAAGACGAAATCACCCATTCCGAGGCGAATTGACGCTGAAAGTAGATGGAATGCAGTAGAATTAACTTTTTTGTTCCTGTGATATTGTATATTTGAATTTGCATTTTTTAAATAATACTCTTTTTGTGATAATTGTATCAAATAACAATACTCTTTCGGATACTCTTTGTGTGTAAAATTTTGGTGGAAAGAAACGGTGTGTCCGGAGTTTTGGCTGGAAGTTATTATCGAGGTGACCTGGATATAACAGTCTTACCTCATGCTAGAAGACCAATCAGACCATTTGAGAGTCGGAATTTTTGAAATTACTCCTCATTTTGGAGAGTGAAACAAATTGAAAGCTGATATTTTGTTGTCATCACTAATGCGTTATTGAGAGAGAATTTTGAAGTAGAATGAATTTAAAAATTCCAAAATCAGTTTAATTGTATGATATTCAATTCAGTTTACATCCATCATTGAGGGCGTCATAAGCGGTGAAA